GGGGGGGGGCAGCAGTGAAAGGGTAGGGGGTAGCTCGGAGAGCAGAATGCCAATGACAGGATTAGAGGCCATATGGGCTTCAGGCACCATCTGTACTGTGGGAGCGACAGAGAGAGGGTTAATTATAGGGCAGCCTCTGGTCCCGGAACACAGCGACTCCCCCCTGACTCACCCAGAACACCCTAATCACTGCACCACACAACCCTCCTGCTCACACAGTCCGTCTGTGTACACAATAGACACTGGTGTTCAGTAGTGACGGATAAAATCAGAACACCTGTATTCATCTGAAAGATAATATACAAGTCCTTTTAATTCAAATTCAAAGCTTTCTTTGTGCCTAAGCAAATCAGATTACAGCTGTCTTAAAATAGTACAATTCGCTAATATGTATATTTGTCACACCAATACATATGCATATAAGCAATGTGTGTGTGTGTGTGTCAGAGTGTTTTCAAGTTTTCGAGGATCTTGCAAGTCTTGTGATGCCCTTACATTGTGTGCTGTTTGCCAGTGGAGCATTTCTCCCCCAGAGGATAGAGACAAAGGAAAGAGGCAGGACAGCTCAGCCTATCTCACACAACACTCACTCTGTCTCTCCATCACACACAATCACAGCACTTCCAACAATACACTGAACTGGATTATCTGTCACACATGTGTTTGCATGCTCCCATAAACACAAAAACAAGAATGTTTTTGTGCCCTTTCTAAAACAATCAATTCAATATTTATCTGCAGTACGAAAGTAGACCAACAGAGAACCATAAGGGATATAAGCACAGACGCACCAAAAATGGCTGTGCACTAATTAAGCCACCAGTGATTTCAGGCCAAATACATCAACTAACTGATGCTTTTCAGTGCAAAACAAAGCTTACACTTAGGCGTGTTAGCTGATGATCAGTATGAGTGTGGGTCAACAGATATTTAAGAGAAAGAGGAAAAAAGGAGAATGAAAAAAATACTATTTGTTGACACTCCAATGACATCTGTTTTTTTTCAACATGTTTCCCTAATTTAAGCCATCTGAAACTTTGTGATTTTGGGGTACATAAATGTAATCACATTTTTTTTTTTTTTGGTGTTAAAGGTATCATATGCCCGGCCAAGCTCGGCTTCCATCCGTGATGCCAACCTTTACGTGAGTGGACTCCCCAAAACCATGAACCAGAAGGACATGGAGCAGCTGTTCTCCCAATACGGTCGCATCATTACATCCCGTATCCTAGTGGACCAAGTCACAGGTAAGGCCTTACATCATGTCCCACGAAAAAGCCATTCCATGTCTGTAAGAAAGACTGGTAGGCAGAAACTGTCATGGATGCCAAGGTAGTAACATTTTTTTCTTATTCTAAATCGGAGCAGGCATATCACGAGGAGTGGGCTTCATCCGGTTTGATAAGCGCAATGAGGCAGAGGAGGCCATCAAAGGTCTGAACGGACAGAAGCCTTTGGGGGCCGCGGAGCCCATCACTGTCAAGTTTGCCAACAACCCCAGCCAGAAGACAGGCCAGGCCTTACTGACTCAGCTGTACCAGACCGCTGCCCGCCGCTACACAGGGCCGCTGCACCACCAGACTCAGCGTTTCAGGTACTGAACCCCCGGCAGACTCACATCACCTAAGAGTGCTAAGGCATATCAGATGAAGTCGCACGCCCCACAAACAGAAAGTGGGAAAATGTGTATTCAAAAGAAATTCAAATTCAAAACAACCGTTTCTGTCTATACTAACAAATTGTTCCTTGAAGCAATATTATTGCTTTACAGTACAGAAGGAATTGGCAATATTGCATTGTCCCTCCTTCTCACTCTTTCTCTCTGACTTTCTTTGAAACTGCAGCATGATCCCTTCACTTGGAAAGGGACCAGATCCAAATAACAGCTCAAAACCAATGTAAGAGACCAGACTTTTCCAAATACAATTTAAAAAACAAAACAACAAAGCTAAATAAATACTGGTTTAGGAAGAATGACTCTGAACCTTTAAAGTTTGTCTTTACAACATAATGGGCATAATATAGAGTGAAATTGTCAGATGTCAGCCACATCTATACATTGATATTTTTGAATAAAGGTTCAAAGGCTTTCAGAAGTAAATATGTTTATATAACCTCATAAACAATTGTAGATCAGGGCATGCTAACTTATTCATTATGGCTAATTACTTTTTATCAGTAGATGTGAAATGGCCTAGGATACGGATTTTGTTAAAGGGGGATCTATTTTGGAGTTTAACCAACCAAACTCGACAAACAATAAATACCAGCTGAGACATACTCACAGGAGTTTTTTAGACGCCATCAGTTTGTGGTTGGATGGTTTGGGACTGCGATGCAGTGGAGGATGCCCTCTGGAGGCCGCTGAAGAAGCAACATGTTAACTGAAAGCCCCCCTTCCTTGTAGATCTCATAACTAACTTTTGCATCCCCTTCATTTTCCCTCTTGCGTTGCAGACTCGACAATTTACTAAACGCCAGCTACGGAGTCAAGAGGTAAATGCCAAAGGTGTATTTTCAAAAGCATCCATGCCAAATTAAAACCTCAAACAAAGTGCCTGGAATACCACCTGCTGACTTCATCTCGAAATCAGATAAAATGGCCACAATTCTTAATACCCACTGCCCATATAAACCATGTTACAGAAGCAGCCTAGACAACAAAATACTATCAGTAATGCAATGATGCAAGCTTCTAACAGCAGGGTATTCTGGCATGGCTTTGTTTAACCTTTTCGTTCTTTTTATTTTAATTAATAGAAATAATTTATATGTATTTATTTATGAACTAACATTGTCAGTTTCAGTTGCTTTAATGTCCCTTTTTTTTCACCAGCATGGACATACCAGATTCCGTTTGCGTATCCTCTGTTTGCTCCAGTTTGTGTATGATTTGATTTGATTCCAATTTGCTTTTCATCCCTCTCTAGGTTTCTGTGTTTTATTCAATACTGTGGTTTCTGTTGAACATTGTGAATCATGTTTAATTATTCCAGAGGCTTTGGTCAGCAGAGAAAAATGAGAAAAATATTCAGTGTGTGGGTGTCAGTGTCTCAGGGCACACAGTGTGATTCTGTATAAAAGCAGGTAGTTTGGAGCCACTGCGGTGCCCACACATATTTATCTACTTACTGTACAGCAGAGGGGATGGAGATGGAGTCCCCCGACTCCAATCTTTATCATTTCTCACAGAAACAAGCCCATAAGAGACAGTATAGAGAACTGGATTCTGTGTAGAACTTCAGAATGACACCCATGGTAGCTCTCCTACTCTCTTCCCCAGATTCTCCCCCATCACCATTGACAGCATGACCAGCCTTGCGGGCGTCAACCTTACCGGTCCAACTGGAGCCGGCTGGTGCATCTTTGTGTACAACCTGTCCCCAGAGGCGGACGAGAGCGTCCTTTGGCAGCTCTTTGGGCCATTCGGCGCAGTCACCAATGTCAAGGTCATCCGTGACTTCACCACCAACAAATGTAAGGGCTTTGGCTTCGTCACCATGACCAACTACGATGAAGCTGCCATGGCTATCGCTAGCCTTAATGGCTACCGCCTTGGTGACCGCGTGCTGCAGGTTTCCTTCAAGACCAGCAAGCAGCACAAGGCCTGAGAGAGAGGCTGCGGGCACCAAGCTCCTTCGACCTGCAGGGAGTCCCCTGAGCTCCCTGTGACATCACTCTACATGGGCCTGGACTGAGTCTCTCTCTGACACATTCACACACAAATCCATAATATATTATCACAAACACAGACATGCAGATACAGGCATACACGCACAGACATAACCAAACATATCCATACGCGCAAGCATACACAAGTCAGAGTATCAAACAAACACACTAGTGGAGTTTTTCTTTTGTCTTTACACAACATGCTAGTCCTTCCCTATATTTGCCTGGATTGAATTAGAAGGGGTACGTAGCTGGTTTGTTGGGTAGGAGCAAGAGCTATCTATTTAGGAGACAGTCTAACGAATGTGACAGAGAATGTGTACTGAGTGCTTTGATTGAATTCAGGCAAATAATGACAACTGATGAACAAAACGATCAAAAATTTAAAATGAACAAATATGTGCAATTTACCCAAACTCTTACCCCACCATCTCTCCTATTATCTTGCTGGAGAGGATGTAGTCACTTTTTTTACACTTGGGCATTTTGAATCAGCGATTTTTTTAGATCAAAGAAAATGAAATTAAAAAACAGTGTTCTCTTATATACGTCTATTAAAAATATAACTATATATTCAATATTTAAGGTGGTTATAATAGCCGAGTATGTAAGCATTTTCTAGAAACGTTGACTACTGTTTCCTGACCTGCATTAGGTGGTGCCTAGCGTAAAGGCAGTTCCTCTACCACATGTGAGCTGATTAGCTCAGACCCAATAAGATTTAGGCTAACCAATGAAAACTGGTCACAGAAAAGAGTAGTCCGAAAGCCATCAGAATGCCTCTTTCCCTCACAGTCTCACACCAAACAACATTAAGAGTACACTTCTGTATCACTGAAACACAGTTCAATAACTAGAAGATATATTAAGTAAAACATAGCAAACGTTCCTGTATTGATCTTCTATTCTATTCTTTGGATGGGTTCAACACAAGCAGACTGTCTGTGAACTTAGAGCAGAGTGGCAGTGCTCCCATGGCGACAGTGTTCATTAGTAAATCTCTAGTGGGCGAGAGTGCGACGAGTACAAGTGGAAAACCGTCTCACCATAACACAGCCACGTCAGAGGAAAATACCGGTGTTTTTTCACTTTTTGCAAAGAAATGTATTACACCTCAGCACATTAACGACAGGCCTTTTTACTCTGGATGGAATTGTCAGCCATGATTTGGTGCGATATCCCTTTAACACAAAGGTCATCTTTCATCGAGAGAACAAAGCAAACAAGACATCCAAATTATAATGTTCTTGCTTTGATTATGAAAGTTACAGCAAGACAGGACTTCAAGGCTTTAGATTAATAACTATAAATGGAGGCAGGAATTTGATAGTTTGAATGGGATTAAGACCCAAGAAGCAGCTACAAGTAACTGAAGAAAATACAATACACCCCATTGACTGAACAATGGTCTATGCTGCTCTGCAGAGATATAACACACATGAGCAAAAAGTCAAGAGCACCGGTATTATTCTTCAGTCTAGTGCACTGATAGAAGCTCCCAGGATAAATTAGGTCAAATTGTTACCATTCAGTTGAGCACATCTACAGAACCAACATGCATAGAGCAGATTAGTAGGACTGCAGTTCCAAGTGACTGAATATTTAAAACTGACTTAGAGTCTCGTGTGTGAGCGATAATATATGGCAATGTTCAAATGATCACTGATCCTTGGAGGAAAAAGATTAATAGTTCCTCTAGCTTTGCCAAATGCTCCTCAGTTTTATTTAAAACCGCTAAATTCTCTTAAAAGCTTCCAAGAAACGTTGTACTCCTGCCCTCTTAAAAGACGACTGTACAACATCAAGCCTGCAAATAAGTGTCATAATAATACATCTGTTTACAACAGAAAGGTATTTATTTATCTGCTTTAGATCTATTTCACACTTTCACAAAAATAGCATTACTCAAAATATCCCCAACCCAATTGCATGAAAATTATTTATGGCACCCTTGATGAAACATTAAGGCCAACCTGTCTAGATGAAACGTCTGTTACAGACCAGACTTACGATTTACCGTGGGGAGAGCTAATGTCTTTCAATATCAAGACATCTGCACATGATAATAGATTAAATAAGGTCAACTATATTCAAGACATTTTTGCTTTTGCTTTTCTAAATGACGCTGTGTTAGCCAAAGAGGACGATCTCTTTGAAAGGATTACATTAGAGATAAATCTATTTTTATACATACAAAGGAACAAGACCTTGTGCTGAATTTTTACAGATTCTTAAGCTTGGAAAAATTGGGACATCGCATGGCTTTATTTTAAACCCTCTGATCTTTGCAGAGCAAGGGGGAATAAGCATGCGGTGTATGGGTGGGGATTTAGGGAAGGGGCGAAGGAGCATCGTATCTCATACAAACTTAACCGTTCAAGCATATCACAACAATTGAAATTAACTAACAAAAGTAAATTAGATGTAAAAAAGCTAAATTCAACACTTGAGTATGTAACCTGACAGACACATCTATACTTCTGAGTGCTTATACACACTCTCATCTCTTGTCCTGAAGTTGTGTACAGTGTTGCTTCCACCATGGTGCAGTGAAGTGAAGTTCTTTGACTTGAGAATCCCAGACAAAGCTGCAGTGAGACCGGCTCATCGCTCAGCTGAACAACCGAATAGCTGCTTGCAAATGAAAAAGGTAAAATGCAGATTCAAACAGTGATACAGATTCATATGAACACTGAGCATGGCTCGTTATGATTAGATAGATTTGATTTTTGCCAAAGAATTGCTTTGCAAGTCAGTACCGAGAAGGATAAATTAAGACTAACTATATTATTCCCTGAGTAATTGCTGTACAAATCTATGTTATTTATTGAATAAGGACCCTCTACAATTTCCGTTATCATTACTTTTAAATATCTAAGTTGCACATATCAGTTTGCATTAGTAAATCCTATAACCACTAAACCAAATGCTAAAATGAAACAGTTGCAAGAAACCCCATTTGCACAAATTGTATGCACACACAGAATGATAGAAAAAAACCATATCAAAATATAAATTACGATGAATCAGTTTGCCTCTAGACAAAGTACGAATTTGATACATTCTTATAATGTTTCCCCCCCCAAACTTTATATCATCTGCTTTGTTTTGTGACTAATTGAATCCTTTAAAACCATTAACTTTGCACCACTTACTCTGGCATCTTTCGATCTGTTCCCCCCCCCCCCCTTCCCCCCCCCGAAATACTCTAAATGACTGTCACTGACGTTTCCGGAGATGACCACAAAAATGGCTAATCTAGCCATTTTGGGTCGAGCAAATTGGAAGAAATATAGGACTGAGCACTTGGTCAGACCAGTGATAGACGTTAGGAAAAACCTAGATAACAGGCCACGTTGAGCTGCAGCTGGAGTTGTTTACCCAGCCATGTCCGATGTAGTACAGTCAACCCACAAACCAAACCCACAGCCCCAAACGACCTTTCATACACAGTCGATACCAAGACCTACACCTGATGTACAGTAGAGAGCCAAGGACCATGGCAGGAAACAGTACTACACTGCTTGAGCAACAACAATATTCATTTAAAAAGACAAAAAAACTTTCCTATGGAACAGTAAGTGCAATGTGCTTTGTTTTTATATTGACTGAGATCAAATGATATATATTTTTAAAAAAAGAAATTAAACGTCACACTGAAAAGGTTTGCGGAATAGTAAAAGTTCAGACAAAAACATTCAAATGAACGGACTCATTAAGAAAATAAAACAAGCAATGAGAGGTCTGATCTGTACATTTCCATAATCACTTCCTTAGCCCCTAATTTGTGCTCTGACCATGAAAGCTCAAAGAAACTGCATATTTGGCTGACTCAATAGAGCAATTCAATGACCTTGAAAGGAATACTGTCTAATATATCAGTTTTTAGCCCATGTCAATTTCAAATATCATTTCTTTCCTGTAACTTATTGATTTCATTTACATATCAAGACTCACTTGTTGAATTAGCGTATTTGTGTTGTTGATGTTGCCATATAGAACACACATGGGTCAAAGATTATGTTTGGTTGCATTGATTGGGTACAGTTTGTTATTTTTCTTCATTATTTAATTAGTTGCAGTTTTACAGTGTATGCAGAGTTTAGACTTAGTTAGATTTTTTTATTTCAATCAAACTGTGTTCAATTGTGTTTGTAAAAGTCTGTGGTAGCTTTTGTTGCAACATAAAATAATTTAAACAGAAAAAATTCAAAATAGCGCCAACAAACTTGTATTATTTGGGCGACTTTAAGCTTGTAGTTTTAACTTATTGTTAACTTAAAAACTATTTATTATGATTATTATTATTATTGCCTCGTATAAAGTATGTTTTGTGTATATTTATGGTTTATTTCATTATATTTGCAAGTTTAAAAGATTTTAAGTTTGCCAAAATTGTGGTTACACCATTACGTTTCTTAAAAAGGGGGACAAATAGAAAAACAGCTTTAGAAGTACGATTTGGAAACGTTCTCCATAGTCAAAGAATGCACTGCTATATTTAACTAATTGAAGTGTATAAACATACATGCTGTGTGCTAGATGTTATGCCTTTACTGCCTGTGTTCTGTTTGTCTTGTTAAATGAAAATCTTTTAATTATTTAATCTAATCACAGTCTTGTTTTTTCAACCACTCTATGAACCCCTGAGACATGGGACAGTCCCTGTAGCGAGGTTTTGGAACATTTGATGGTCCAAAAACTAGCCAGGAACAAAAAGGGATGTCTTAGGTTTGATAGCTCACAAGATGCTTTCCTGTTTATGCTGATGGGTTGATTAAAAAAAAAAGATATTAAGGGTTTGTTTCTGTAACAGCATTGTAATACTGAGATCATCTGTATTGAAACTAAGATGTTCTTTAGTCCCGAGATGCATTTAAAAAACCCAGCAAAGACCTTCGGCAACAATATTACAGAGCTCAGAAAAGCTGCAGGAAGGTTTTCTTGGGTGTCTCTAGGGGAGTAAAGGGGTGAGTGGTCCTTCTGTTTCTCAACCAACTGTATTTTGTGTCTATTTATTTAGAAGAGGGGACGCAGTAACTTAGTGATGTTTTTCTTACATTTTCCTGGAATGGTAGAACAAATCAAAAAGGTGAAAATGATCAAAACAGTTCAAAATCTCATACTTCCAAACATGACCAAATGAACAATGTCAAAATTTAACAAAGAAAAAAAAAATAAACCTTTCAGTTTAGTCTAGGATATTTATTACTGGGATTTCAGCTGAAGACGCTTGAAGACTTTTTCATGGAATTGTTTAATTATTTGTACTTTACATGCCAGAAAAAAATAAAATAAAAGTTACAAATATTGAGTGATCCCATTTTTATTGACTGAGATTGTTGAATGTTATCACTGAACACTTCTGCCCATGCCAGGTTGTTTCATTAGACTCTATAATTAGTTATGCAATAGGTCTTTTACAAGGTGTATATTTTATATCAATTAAATAATAAGAAGTTGAATAAATGGTATAAGTTTGTAAGAACAGTAATTGCTGCTCTTACATGTTGTATGTATAGGTTTTGTACTAAGCTCTTCCCCATAGTGTTATCTCCCGCTAGGTTTCATAAATGCAAAACAGCAGTATTGATTTTAAGCCTGTATGAAAATGGAGTTTTACACCGGAGTTAAAAATGAACACAAGTTTGAGTTGAGATAAAATGAGTTTTATTTGAAAACAATGGAATGAATACATTTGTCACAAATCAGAGAGAAAACACAACAGGAAGCAGAGGAAAGTGGATGTGTAGAGGAGATAACTGCTCATTGGAATTTCCGTTGTTTATTCTGAATTGTTTTTCAATGCCATGATGGTGCCTCTCACAACAACTTGGTGTTGCTGCAGTGACTGTGGTCCCTCAAGAACAACCTGCAAGAGTGAGCGCATACACATTCATTTCAGTGGCATGTTGTTAAGTCATGACTTCCAAGTTGTTAAAAGGGAATAGCAATTTAGGTGAAATTGATCCCCGGCGGTTTGTTTTCCGAGGACTAAGCATTCACTCCACGGATGTATGCACTTCCTGTGTTATCTTGCAGTCAGCACTTCAATATGGGTATTACTGTTTAAATTGATTTAGGTCCATGAAACATAGATTATGTTGTCCCAGACTCTCTCGGCTCCATGCTTCCTTTAGCAGACCTAAAGATATCAGCACTATCAGTAAAGTAAAGCACAGCTTAGCTCAAAATCCTGTCTACAATCCAATAATAAACAGGAAGTTAGAAACAGCTAATGCGTTTAAAACACCCGATACATCTAAGTGTTCAATAAAGTACAGTAGCCTTTTGTTTATTTCAACAGGAAGCTACAGCTGATATCTATTCACTCTGCTCAGCATAACATGATATCAGTTTCCATTGCATCTAGCAACAGTAACACTGATATCACAGTTTAACAGCATTTTTACGAAAATTAAAAAGTATACACAATGCTAAGCTGATTGAGTTAAGAGTTTAGTTCCTCTTTCATCCTAACAACTACAATAAGCTCAAGAAAGTTGCCTTTACCTTGCTCTTGTTGCTGCCTTGCTCTTCTTCTAAAGGGAAGCTGAAACTGCACAGGAGATTTTCTTTACAACAGAATGTTGAAGCGCTAATCCTTCATGATGCAGGTTTCACTGCACTCATATTTAGTTTGTTTGAGTAAGCACCATTTAGAAACTATGAACAGTTGCTTACTTTAGGTGCAGTATCTTTGGGTTAAAAAAACCTGTCCCTCAAAATCTTAACAAAATAGGGCACGAGATAAATATCCTACTGGGTAGAATATGGAGACAAAATACGGTTCGCCAACCCAGGAAATGAGTTACTCACAGATCAGGTGGGTCTAGAGCTCTTCATGCCCATGAAGCGCTGCATCCAGGCTGGGGGGCTCCTGGCAGATAGCCGGGCTGATGAACTCCATCAGGTACTCGCAGCGGCTGGGCTCCGAGACAGATGTCACCACTGTCTCCTTTCCGCACGTTAACTTAATCTAAAAAGACAAAAGGTGATTTATTTGGTGCTGTGCCTTGTGCAATGAAAACTATTAATGGGGTGGGAAATGAAATGTTGAACTAGATCTGCCTGAGCCTCACCGTGGTGGACCTGTTCGGGCCCTGCCAGCACCCTGTCCCATGTTCATACTTCATCAGAGAGTAGATGTTATCCTCGGGACCGGCCCAATGCCCCCATGATCTACAGAAAACAAAAGATATGTTGCAAGTGAAGAGTGTATAAAGAAAGACCGAAAAAGAAACACCATGGATATTCCCTTACCCCAGGTTAGTTTCCGATCCACCAAACTTGGGTTTCTGGGACATTCTGTTGAATGGACAGAGCCTGTAGATGTACCTGGAAACAACATATTCAATCATAAGTCTTCAGTAGTAGGAACCTAAATAATGATTCATAAGTACAATACTTGTTTTCCTAAGTCAGAGAGTGTACGTACTCGCTAGTAGACAACTCATAACACTGGCTATAGAGGTATGCAAACTCCGCATTGGGTCCAAAGTCAAAGGAGATTTCCTTCTCTAGGTTCCTGCAGAGACAAAGCAGACACGATTAGATGCATGCATGTTAAAACAAGGCATTGCACAACATGTGAAAATAAAAAGAGTAGAAAATAAACAAACATAAAAAGTTTAAAATGGAATCCTTTATTTCTTCCACTAACACCACACTGACTGCGCAACACGATGGTCTATTGAAGCTGCTCAAAGTGCAGCCTTAGTAACCAGCGCTGATTGCATTGTTGGCAAAGAAGCTGCTTCATATTCAGAGCACTTACTTGACCTGATCATCGACTTCTCGCAGAGCTCTCTCGGATTCATCAAATGCATCCCTGGCTTTCTGAGCAGCTGGGAATCAAAAGCACAGAATGCAAAGAAAGTCAATTCAGTCCAAGCTCATACACACAACTTACACACAGGCTTACGGCCCGTCTACACTACAGGCATCGAAAAATGCTTTCAACGCTTCGCCCATTCACTTGAATGGGGTGACGTAGAAGATTTTTAATCTTCGCCGAACTGCATTGTGGGGAGCATGGCATGGCTTTGCAAGCATCACGAGCATCTATCGGCATCAAAAGTTGAACAATGTTCAACTTTTGAGGCTCGATGCTTGGCATCAGCCAATCAAATCCTGTTTATGCAAATCCCGCCAGTGCAAGCGCAGCCAATCAAACCGCGTGCAAGCTGGGAGAGCCAGACCGCAGTTCATTTCCTCATATTCCAAACGAGATATTACGGTAGCAAATCACCCGGTTCTTTACGACCGGAACTATTTACCGGGATACAAACCGGAGGAACCAGGCATGGAGGGAGGTGGCAGAGACAGTGGGTGAAACTGGTAGGTTTTTCGCCTGTTTGGAGAGTTTATATCCAGTTTACTTCGTTTTAACATTGCTATTGCTTTGTATGTCGGGGGCGGGAGATTCATGTGATTGNGAGTCATTTGAGGGGGCTCTTGGGGAAAAAAGGTTGGGAACCACTGATATCGATAACGTGACACGAGACTGGATAATCTTATGTTTCCAATATTGACTATAAAGCATAATTGTATTTTCATGGTTTTAACGGCTTTCAAAGTTATTGGTGTTGGTACATGTTTCTGGTTTAGAAATGTGTCTTTACCAATTCAGTCATTATATCCACATTACGGATGATGATGATGATGATGATGATGATGATGATGATGACAAATCTTGTTTTAAGATTTTGGTCAGCTGTACAGTATTGTTCCACAAAAGCATTATAATATATAATGTGTCTCCCCTTATCCCCCAGCCCTAATTGATATGCAGTCACATTGGTGCTTTATGATCTCACAGCTGTGGACGGCTGACTCACTCACTTTCCTACAAACTCTTACCATCAATGAGGTTCTGCGTTTCCTGGTCGAAGGGTGGCATCGTCCCCTCGTCATCGTCTTCCTTCTTATCTGGGGTCTGCGTCGGAGGAGGGCTCTGCTGATCCAACACACAGAAGAGTGACTCACTAAAGGAAAGCTTGAGTCATGCAGCATAAGTTTGAAGGAGAAATCGGGTGCGCTTACCTTATAGTCTCCGTCATCTTGGTCTTCTTCTTCGTCCTCTTCATCATCTTCCTCCTCTTCTTCTGGGATGTCTTCTTCAGGGTACTGCTCGGAGTCGTTGTCGGAGGGGGGCTCTTTTATCTCCTCCCCTGGAGTCTCCACCTCTGCTGGGGTTTCCGTGTTGGCCTGCCGCCAGGAAAGATACACAGTTTCAAATAGGAGGCCGAGGCTTCCACACGTTGGGCTTAACTAAAGAAGAATGTGCAGGGGCTTACCTCTGATGTGTATTTGTCTTTGATGTTATTCCAAACTGACTCAAAGGCTACAGAGTCCACTTTGTCAACTCCTCCTAACAGTCCCTAAACCCAAAGACAATACTCACATTTAGATTCAGCTCCGTCAAATATGTTTCTAGAATTGTTTCATTTCTGACATGTAATGGTAAGTGCACTTTACAGGGTTCATACACTTTTCACCAATGATTTTCAATGACTTCTCCATGACCTTTACCTCATTTTCCATGACCAAAGAAAATGACTCTTTCTCAGCGGTACCACTGAAAATTGTTTATGTAACAGGAAAATAAGGTCTGCATATGAAACATGTTGTAAAACAAATAACTTTCAGTATTTATTATCATCGATTAGATCAAATATTAATTATATTTGATGCAACTTTAGTTCGATTTTCATGACTTTTCCAAAACTTTGGGAAGAATATTTTTTTCCAGAACTTTTCCAGGGCCTGGAATTAGCATTTTGAATTTCCATGACTTTTCCAGGTTTTTAATGACCGTATGAACCCTGACTTTACCATCAGGGTTTTTATAGGAACACACGAATAATCACCTGCGCCTCTGCTTCTGTGAAGGATCCGTCTGAATCCGGGTCGAGCTCAGAGTGGGACAGAAGCTCAGCCACGGAGACACTGACACAAACAAAGACACGTCATTGAGTTACAGCAAGCACAAAAATACTTACTGTCATACTAATGATCATACAAAAAGGTACATATGAAAGATATGAGTATACCACATCAGAAGTAAAAGAGGGAGGGCTTCAATGTATACTGTTCCCTTATTGCAAATGTTCACTACTCCCTGTAACTGCAAGTCTATTTCAATGTAACTGGTGAAATGTTCTCAACTGTCTTCTAAATAAAGAATTGTACATTTAAAAAAAGAAAGATATGAGTATACATTTGTTTTTAAAGAGTGATAAAATATGTTCTGGCCTTTTTTGGTTTAAATAAATGTAGTCTCTCGAGCAGCAATTTGGATTCCAATTATACAAGTCACAAAACAAAAGTTAACTTAAAAGAAATCACACTCCAGATTTACAAATGCTGCATTTCTCCTTTTCATTATTGTATTCAACCTGGTGAGCCTGACAACACAGGCTTCTCCCGTGATGGGTGCTAATACTACTTGAGGGTGCTGATACTCACGAGCCATCTGCATCATCATCCAGTTCAGACAGCACCTCAGCCATTTTAGCCTTGTCCTTCTCCATTTGAATAACAGCCTTTTGTTCTGAAACAAAAAATATCATTTATTTATTATGATTGATTCTAATCATACACACATATTGTATACACAGTGTTACCACATGCTGTTATATAACATCAACTTCAGGGCAGAAGTCTCATCAGTGTCAAGTTTTAGTATAACTGGTGCAAATGGAATCCAGGTAACTTCATCTAGCTCAGAAATGTGATAAAACAGACTGTACTATATGTTATGTGATGCTCTGTTCAAACAGGAGAGGTGAAATGCTTTCACATTATCATTTACCTTCCCAGGCCTTCAGATGGCGCTCTTTGGCTTCTTTTTCTGGCTGCTCTGCAGTCTCCTTCACTGTTCTCAGGGCCTCCACCATAGCTTCCAAATCTTTCTTACCGATCTGAATATCTGCTTGTTTGGCCTTTAGAGGACAATCAAAATGATACCTTTAATCAATTTAAGAACACACACGCAATCCCTGAAAACGCCATGCCGTTTACAAAACTATACAATGAAATCTATTCAAAGGAGAACAGCTGTGAGCAGCAAAGGCAACAGAGAAGAATAAGAACAACCTGGAAGACCTGGCACCTCTTTATTTACTATGAGATGAGCGTTATGTGCTTGTTTGTGTTTTACAGGAGGATTAAGATGGCCGTTTCTAGTTTCTTGGTGTGAATCAGGCCGATACAAAGTGAGTGGGATGATTTGGTCACTCCTACAACTACTCTCAGTTTTTGTGCATAATAAGCAAAAGAATAGGTGACATAACTAGACATATAAAACATTTTTGTAAACACCTTCATCCGTCTTTATGAAAGTGTCAGTACCCTGTATGAAACATATTTGACGATGAGAAAATAAATGTGTCAGAGCTACGAATCTTAATTATTACACAAACAAATTCCAACGGTTCTGTTGTCATTCATACCTTCTTTTCCTCTAGGCCCCTCTTTGCCTCCTGGACCAGTTGTTGCTTAAGCAGAAAGCCTTCCTTAGTGATCTCTGCCATCTTCTGCAGGCTTTCCCTCTCTTTGCGCCCCAACTCCCTGCAATTCACACGAAATATAAAGAAAATACTCAACAATAAACAAAGCATTTCATATTTTCAGACCATATGCCCGTGTCTTCCCGGGTCCTCAGACCGGGCCTGCTCTCCATCCCCCGCTCTCGCCTCCGAACTGTTGGTGACAGGGCGTTCAGTGTTGCGGCCCCCACCCTCTGGAATGCACTTACTGCCAAGATCCGTAATGTTGCCTCCCTGGACATCTTCAAATCATCATTAAAAACACACCTGTTCACCCTGGCCCTCGGGCTCTAGCCCTTTCTTGGTCCCCCGGCTTCCTTTATTTTTTGTTTGCCCTTTGATTGTCTGTTTGTTTTGTTTGTCCACCATGTACAGCGACATTGGGTCCCTTGAAAGGAGCTATATAAATATCATTTATCATTATTATTATGTATAGGCTGTCTGAACAGATCAGGCTTATTCTTGCTGGTGTACTTAAGTTATTAGAGTTATAAGACAAAACCATTCCCACCTGCAGGTGTTCTGACAGGCAGCACCACTGTTGTACTCATCTGTTGTGTCACAGCAATCTATACAAGAAACGCAGATGTTAGACAAAAAAGCTGCCCACACAACACACCCGTAAGAGGTAGGCAGAACAGTTTAAAATACATACCACAAATGCCGTCATTGATGCGGGAGGAAGGGATGAAGCCCGGTCGGAAACCTGCGTTGGTGCAGTGGAAGCTGCCGTTGGGACAAGCAGCAGTGCCTGCAAAATAATATTTGGAGTATAACAGGTGCTCCATATTGTCATGACCTTGAAAAGTTAGAAGATTCAGACCAAGCAGCTTTTCTAAACAATTCACATTACTACTAATATTGTAAATAAAATTACTATTATATTTAAATGTATGTCTTTTCAGTGTCATAGCATTAGAGATACTCTTCAGTTGTATAGCCTTTTGTGACCGGTTGCCTTTTATTAAAGGGTTTAGTGTTTGTGCAGTGTAATACAGAAGTGTTTGATATGTTCCTTCGTTTTTATAATGAAACTATTTATTAAAGTTGTCCCTCGCAAGGTGTGTCTTTAATGTTGAACTAATAGAAAGATGTCCAGTGTTGGATCTGTTTTCCTCTGTACCAAATGTCCACCCAACCGGGCTATGAACGGAACTCTGACTTGTGTAATGTTACACACCTACTAGATGGCAGTGTAGGCGTCAAAAGCATTCAGTATATACGCACCTGGTTCATCAGAGCCATCCTTACAATCACAGTAGTCATCATTCACTCTGTCAAAGGGAATCGTGCGGGAGCCATCTAGGCAAGTAAAAGGTTTGCCCTCTTCGTAGAACTGCCGTTCTGTCGAGGTTGAACAAAAGAAACGGGTCAGAGATATGGCAGATCCAAAACTAAGGAACTTATTTTGAACTCTATCCCGAGTGCAAAGTATACAACTGTACTCCAGAGGTGGAAGAAGTACTTAGATATTTTTACCTGAGTGTATGAATACAGTGTTACAAGTCAAAGTATTGCATTGCAAATGTTGATCAAGTAAAAGTAAAACATCATTAGCATCCATATATACTTAAAGTACCAAAAGTAAAAGCAGTCATTGTGCAAATTGACATAAATGAATACAATCTGGTAAAGGAGCAACCAATTTGTGTTACTTTGCATGCTGCAGGGTAGAAGTAACTAAAGGTATACAATAAATATAGTGGAGTAAAGTACATGATTTCCTTCTGATTTGTAATGGAGTAGAAAGACAAAGTAGCAACACATTGAAATACTCACGTAAAGTACTAGTACTTCAAAATCTTACTTCACCACTGCTGTACTGTACTCGTATGTCATTATTAGTTGTGATTATGAATTATGAAAGCTTACTTGACAAAGGGACACCCCGAGGTCGTTGGACTTCCACCGCTGAGACTCCCACACTCAGCAGCAGCATTAGCAGGTACTGAGTCTGACAGGACGTCATCTCCGCAATGGATCAGTATTTAGGAATATTCAGCTGTACCCAAACCGCCTCTATGACACAAAATGTGTAGATTAATACAGGAACCACCATGTTAAAACAATAAACATATCGGGACAAGAACGATAATGTTATATCAACTAAAATCCATCAAGTATCTTCGCTTGTTCTGGTTTCGACAACGACTTCTTGTTAGCTAACACAGCAACGCGAACTAGCCAATTTAACTAAAAGCAACCTCTAAAATAACACGTAAATAAATATAAATACCAGGAGTGCGTAACCATTTATAATAACATAATTATACCTTAAGCGTACACGGTAAATACTGTTGGTAGACACAAAGAAAACGTTTAACAATTGCTTAAAACAAGCTAATAGCTAATCATTACCGGTCAATGCACCGCTTAGTTCCGTGTTGTCAAAGCGCATGCGTACAGCTCCGCCCCGCTTTGTCTTGTTTCTCTCTGATTGGTCGACGCTTTGTTTAGCCCCTGTGATTGGCTGAGAGCCGTGGCAGCCGCCTAAAGAAGAGGATTCTGGGGAGGATTCAGCCTTCTCATGGCAGAGTCAGACAGGTGCAGGTAGTCATCACTCTTTACACTGTTTATCATTAGACCGTGTTTCATTCAGGCATCGTACAAACTACACGTTAATATCTATGGTTAATATCGATAACGTGGAAAAATTAGGGCACTATCATTTAATTGTATCCTATAAAAGGTCAAATGTATACAACAACTAAAGGACGTTGCCTGCAATATAGTAATAGGATAATACAGTCTCTACAAACATGCTACAGTTAAAAATAAGATTAAGCTCAAATAGTCTGGAACAATACAATATCACTTTACATACAACATTTATTTACATTACTAAATATTATTTGAACACTCTTTGGGTTTATATTTCAATTTTTTCATATAGTATTGCACTATGTGGATTTTGATTGACTATGTGTTTGTACCATATATTGTATCTTTTTTCAGTATCTGTTTTTCTATCCTGTTGTTTCTTATGCGGACTAAATTTGCTAACAAACCACCTAGCATATGAAACTGTAATAATAGTGACAATTGTATTGCATTTAATATAAAAATCTTACTTTATTTGTATTTTTAACACACTTTACAGTACCGAACAGTGAAATAAAAGAAAAATATACTGATATACTATAATATTGTTTTATATATAGATGTTTGCTTATTAAATGCATTTATTCACAAAATGACACCTCAGCTCTGTTGAGAGGAAAAACTTTCATAAAAATAATATAATAAAAAATAACTTGGACACATTTTACACATTACAGCAAGATCATTTACAAATATTACAATCATTTCATGTTGTTTTTTCACCTTGAATAATCTTTCTTACTTGTGAACAAACACATGAATTAAAGCCCAGAAAAAAATATTCACAGAGGGGTCAGTCTGTGAAAAAGTGACCTGACAGCCACCCAAGATGGGAACCACTAGGCCACCACGGGACGGACATCTAGGCTAACAAAGATTGAAGTTACTAAGAAATAGAAGTGGTGGTAGTACTAAAATGGCCAAGGTAGATAAGGACACATGTATTCCTTTTCAAAATGTCACATCCAATGTGACTACATCAGCTCAACTTTGACTTTATCAGTCAAATTAGTTCAATTTCACATGGACTATTAATGGAGAATTACTTGTTTGTTTGAATAGACCTCTAGAAAAGTCGTTAACATTGACTACTGCACAACGACTTTGTGATTTGGCCCAATGTAAAATGATCAATGGGTGACTGCCAATGACCAAACCACCAGACACAGACTGAATACTACCTGAAACACACTGTCTGCCTCAAAACCTGACGAAATAAAGTGCTGGTACAAATATATTTGATTTCAACAATAAATGTGCACGATTAAAATATGTTAGCACAAGTGAGCGAAAACATAACTAGAGAATGAAAAGGTGAGGATGTGGCCTGCAGTGTTTTAGTGGTTCACAAAACAACCTTAAGTGGTTATTTGTCAATCATTATGACTTGGATAAATTTATAATTTACAATCCAATATTACATTATATACAAGATTGGTTATGCTTATAGCTATATCATCAACACATGATTCATTTTCTAGACCATCCACCAGAATGATATAAAAATAAACTGTACACAAACTGTTCAAAGAAAACACTTCCCATGGTTTTCTTTTCATCATTTAAAAAGAATGGCAGCAATCAATCAGTTGAATACATTTCTTAATAAGAAACAATTGCTACAGTATCGTGTTTGTATGGCAAGTAAATATTGATGTTTTTATAGCTTATGACAAAACAAGAAGCCACAAAAACAAAGCAACATCTTTAAAGTGAAAGGCCGATGCATATGGGAATCTTTTATTTAAGTAACTGCAGTAGTAATCCTGGATTCCCATTGTACAAGGTGAAAGCCTGTGTGGTGGCCCGGCAGCTCTGCTCCGTCCTGCGGCAGAGCAGGTCGAACACACAGGCTTATGTTGCTCCGAGCTGTGGCGTCTTCAGATAAGCTCAGTTACTGACCTGCAGGAACTTGCTCTTACCCTTCAAAAGAACCACACTCATGTTATTTTATTCGGTTTTTTTTACCCTGTGAAAAACAAACACCTAAACAAGCTGTGACCTATTCGAGCTGATCAAATCCTGAACACCATTCAACAACTTGTGTTGATGCCGGTGAGGGACCAATGACACATATGACAACCTCTTAAGCATCCTGCCATCTCTCTCTGTTACATTTACTCATGACCACACAAAAAGCCACACAAACAAACAAATACACGCATCAACTCCATCATGTCAAATCGATAACTGGTCAGATTCAAACTAAAGGATTACAGGACATCCCTATTCGTTCTCACCGCCCGCAAAATCTTATCTCATCATTCTTATTCCCTCCTCATGCTTTCATGAAGCTATAAGAAAGTAATTGTACCTTCCTGATAAAAAAACAGCACATTCTTTATGGTAGTCCGAGCTCAGCAACAACATTATTGGCAGCAATGTTTTTCCTTTTCCCTCTATATGCAATGCTGGATACACTGTGTATAGACACACTGATACTCACAGAAATAAGCATATTGACGTGATATAAATATACTAGGATATCTATTATATATCTTATAAATCTACATACTGGCAGGTATGTATCCTGCATCTGACATTAAGGCAAAAAAGCATCAAACATAACAAGGATGATTAGGGACTGCCAGACCAGCTTTTGGTCAAGTAACGCTTCTTTCTCCTGACATTCTGCCTCCCTGATTTTCATCTTCATCCGTATTCCTTCAAATCACTTCACCCACTGAAGCTTCTCATCCTTTCCTTTGGTGAGAATCATTTTGTATGAGGAGAAATAACCACGCAGTGCAAGTGGGTGTGAGATGGCAAGTGGAAATTTGTTCTGCTGATGAAATAATTCTGTATCCCTTCAACATATTTAGAAATTGTTAAATAGAAAATAGGCAAAACTTATGCTTCAAAGCATCACATGGCTTATTCTCAGAAAGTAAAAAAATCATTCTAATAAGAAAAAAACCATAAGCTGGAAAAAGTCCACTGATGGTTGTGGAGGTGGTGATGATTGCTCTGCATCTAGACTTCTGAGTTATTATATTACCAGAAGAGCAACAAAGGAAGACTTACAGCTTAAAAAATATCACCACAGAAACTGTACGTGTGAGATACACACCACAATACCATGAACAGTAAAGAGAGATCTTTAACAAGAGACAATCAAAAAATGATAACAAAATTAGACACTCCTGTCCCACAATGCATTGCTTCACGACAGCTCCATTCAGGAAGCTGGTGTTTCAGAAAGGCACAGAGCCATCTTGCACCAGTAGCACTCTCCTCGTAAAGGGAAAAGGGGTATTGGAGCCGGCGGCCCCTCCATCGCAGCATCTTCTTTTCCTTCAGCATCTTCCTCTCTCCTCCTCCAACTCTGTGGATTTTCTTTTCTTTCCGACAGAAATGGAAAAAAAAGTCCCTCGGCTGAGAAGCTTGTCAGAGGAGAACAGTTTCTGTTGAGGTTCTAACGAACATGAATTACTAATACTGACTGAACACTAGTTAATACTCCTTTAAGAGATGGCTTTTTCCAAAGAGATTCATTACTGGTCAATGTCCCTCATGTAAATGCACACACACAAATACATGGTCAAGAGTGTGTGTCTGTGTATGTTTGTGTGAACAGAGGAAAAGAAGGGGTACATTTGCGCACAAATTACACTGCATGACTGATGTATGCACTCACATTATTGAATTGGTTTATTTCGACATGACTTGCTCCTACTATGTGTGTGTGTGTGTGTGTGTGTGTGTGTGTGTGTGTGTGTGTGTGTGTGTGTGTGTGTGTGTGTTTATTTGTTTGTGTGTGTGCATCACAGTCCCAGAGTGCTACGCTGTCTTCAGTTGTCTGTCTTGAATGCTCTCCTCAGTTCCTCTTAGTCTAAAGTTTGTTGTGAAATCGGTCGGAGGACTTGTCACCACTCCAAATCTACAGTTGCTGTGTAATTACCTTCTCTTGAAGCGATTTACATTTATTCCCTTTTTGAAAAATATATTTAAAGGTCTGTACTGTCATTGCAGTCTTATTTGTTCTCGGTTTGGCCATTGTAAAGGATGAACAAAATGATGTGTGCACGGGAGGAGGGAGATGCGGGAGCAGAACTCATGTATCTTCGGCTTGTGAAGAAGAATCTTCCTCTTCCTCTACAGGACTTGTGTCAGAAAGTCTCTCCTTTTCAGATCTTACCTCCAACTGAGCCTTTAGCTCCTCCTCCTGTTCCTCCTCCACCTCCTCCTCCTCCATTGCTACCTCCTCTTCCTCTTCTATAATGTCCCCATTTTCCTCCTCTGCCATTATGTCCTCCTCTTTTTTGTCCTCTTCCTCGTCCTCCTCCTCCCCCTTACTGCAGTCTTGTGCCACGTGGTTCAGTGTAGGCATGTCCCCCTCGTCCTCCCCTTCTCCCTGAGTGCCGTCCTCCAGGGTGAGCTGAAACTGAAACTTGTCCATGCAGACGTTTAGATCCTTATCCTGGCACACAGGTGGTGGCGAGGGGCTTTGTGGGATAGTGCTCTGGTACCAGTCCCTGTTGTCCTCCAGAGTGTCCAGGATGTCCTGGGCATCAGGGTGCACAAGGTCCCCCCATGTCTCCCACAGCGGGTGGACAATGTAGTCAATAAAGCCCACCTGCATTCAGAAAAAAGAGTGTGATTCCCATGATAGAAAACCACAGATCAACATTAAAAATGTACGAGGATGACTGCTGTGATCAGAGCTGACGGATCACTCTACACCAGGGGTTTCCAAACTACGGCCCGGGGGCCATTTTGAATCGGCCCTCAGCTAATTCTGAAAGTGTAATGAAATACGGCCCACAAATGAAACTTGTGCTTGTCTTGTATTGTACTTCTTAAATATATATGTAAACATATATTACACAGTATTCATGTGTTAATAAGCCCACTTTTTAAAAAAATTCAGTCAATTAAATTTGAAAACATTTTCTAACAAATCGAACTTGATAAGAAAAAAGCCCAATAACTTATTTGTATAACAACCGTTAAATAGACCCTTCATATTTCCTCTTATGATAAGCAATCTGAGGCTCCTGTTTAAAGGAATGAGCTGCCAACAAAATAAATAAAACCCTATGGAGAGCTGGGATGTATAATGTTTTTTCTTAATACATATTCAAGTAACAAGCATAATTTATCCACATTTTATTTATTTTGCTGACTTATAACTTAACTTATAAGGCAATATAACTCACCTCACCTCAGTGGCCCTGCCCTTCCTATATTTTTCTGTATGTGGCCCTCGGTGAAAAAAGTTGGAGACCCCTGCTCTACACTGTCGTTATCACCCCGCCTACAGCATCAACACTTATCCAGTTGTGCACAGAACATGATTCATACGTGTGTGTATATTTCAGGGCTGGTCATCTTTACCTGGCTCTTTTCCACAGACGCAGTGTGTTTGTCGCACATGGGGCTGATCTCCATCCCTCGCTCTCTCTCCTTATCTCCCTGCCTGAAGAACTCTTCCATTATCCTCTCTGTCCATTGTCGATACACAGCCAGGGGTTTCGTGGGATTGCTTAGGTCAGCACAGTGCACCATGTTCCTTAGCACCTGCATAAACACAGAGGAACATTTTACACAATATACACATCAAGTATCAAGCCCTAAATGCAGATTACCATGGAGGTCATTAACACACATTCCAGTAATTATTTCAGCACATAAAGTGTGGTTGTGCTATTTTTGGCGGGATTGTATGTTTTATTATTTGCTAGTATAACTCCAAAATCCAATTCCCTGCTTAAAAAACGTTCTTAACGATATTCTGTTATTGAAAGATTATGAATTTACAGTAAAATTGTTGGATACACAAACATTTCCATTAATGCATGTCCTTTTCTATTCCTGCTGATGGTTTTATCACCTACTTTGGGAAGTATGTATATCATGTTTAAAAAGCTATGCCACCAATTATGACTTCATGGAGTCTGGCTTAAATTGTTCTCTTGTCTCTCTTCAGAAAGTTGCAGAAGTCTTTAGCACAGAAACCTCCTGCGATGCTAACCCAATCTCCTTCACTCCCTTTTTAATGCCAATCATAACTCTTTTATGAAATGTGTGCCTTAGTCGTGTACTTTCTCCAATGCAAACAACCAATTCGTGTCAAAAAACTACAGACGAGAGATGTTGATTCCTTTCATAAACCTGAATGAAAAGATTCCACCTGGTGGACCTCCATCAGTCAGGAATAAAAGTGGAGTAGTGAACCATCACTCCCAACCTCCGTTTAGATGACAACAAAGAAAGACTTTTCCTGGGCTTACTCTTGCAAAGACAAGAATATCTTGGGGTGTTCTCTTCCTTCCATTCACGGCCATCTAAATGAAAGCTCATATTCCCTCATTTCTGCGTAGTTGACATCAACCAGTCCATCAAATGCAAAATCTTGCCCCACACAAGATCTCTCTGTTGTCATTGACAACATAAAGAAGCACCTACTTCATCCATCAAATATTCAAGAAGAACAGTCCAATGCACTCTTCGGCCCGTCCACACAGCAGCGTGCGTTGAAGCTTGCAGGTGGGCGTGTCTGAAACTCGACCAACAACCAATCACATCAATCCCCCGCCCCGGACAGAAGGGCACACGGTTTGATTGGCTAGAGCTTGTACTGGCATATTATTTGATTGGCTGGCGCTTCCGTCGAAGCTTCAAAAGTTGAACATTGCTCAACTTTTGCAGCGAGCAACGCGAGCAAAGCGAAGCAACGCTCCCACAATGCAGTTCGGCAAAGCGTGACGTCACCCCATTCAAAGTGAATGGGTAGAAGCGTTGAAGCTTCAACGCACGCCAACTAAAAAGCCACAAGTAAGATGGCTACAAGGTTTTTCTTGTCAAGTTTGACCAATCATCCTAACATGTACAAACATTGTCCATGTTTTTAGAATTTAACTATGAAATATCCTCTAGATTACATAATAGTTTTACCTTCTGCCAAAAGAGTGCTTTGAACCTTTATTTTTTTACCTTACTTATAAATGAACTGAAAGGTGAGGTCTCACCTGTATCCTGTCATTGTAATGGTCAAGCAGCAATACTCCAGAACTTGTCACTTTCTTCGTTTCCACCATAGTCTTGAGGTCGGCCAGCAAACTCATGTGTTTAGACATATCTGTTGCCAAAACCTGGGAAAACAATTGAAAACATTATAAAGGGGTGCGTAGCCGAGTGAGAGCTTCATAATTCAAGCCTGTGTGCTGACAACACTCACCATGTCAATGACAAGTTTCCTCAGGCTCTGTCTCTGCCTCTTGCTCAGGTTCTGGAAGATGTCACAGTTGTCTTCATGAAGCAGCTTGAAGCCCACAGCTAGGTGATGGTTCTCCAACACAGACTCGTCGTTGTACATCAGGGCTAGCTCTGAATCTGAGGGAAGCACCATCCAACACTTACGGTAAGCCAAAAACACATACAGTTGTTCCCCCATCTGGGTGGCATTGTTCAAACATTTACAACTACTCAGTTGATTAAGGAAGAAGCACAGTGCCATTTATGCTCAGAGACAATAACTTCAATATACAACTAGAAAAAGCACACAATTGACAAACCAAACAGATGAATGTACTAAAAACGTAACAAGTAAAAGTGTGCTTTTTCACTTTAACTCAGGAGGATTCACTACAAAATGCAACACTATTAGAACGTTTTAACTCAGTGGAGTGTATTATAAACATTAGACACCACAAAATTAGAACAAACTATTCAATACAGTTATAAAAACACTATAATACAATAATACTTAAAATAGCAACATAAAACTAATTGAGTGTCTTTAAATGTCACTACTTCAAATTATTTTATTTCAGATCACGACACAGTAATTAATGGTATGTACAGTATTGTCACATAAAATGATTAGAGTTGTAATTTGATTTAGAGGATGAATATATGTTGTTATTAAGAAACAAAAAAATAAAAACAATGTTTTGCATAAAACTGACATGATAAATACTTGAAAGAAGAGTTTAGAAACAACATTCAAATGAAGCCTTTATTGTGTAAAAATAAAAGAAATACCAGGTCTTCTCAGAATAGCTAACTTAGCAAACCCTAACCCTACATAGTGGTTCTAGCTACCTGCCTTGTGGTCTTTTTAAAATCAAGAGACTCAAAGATTGCACCTGTCATTATTTTATTGGATATTTGATAGCTTGCCTCCTTTGTTGAGACTAGTCTTGGGGAAATACATCACGTATCTGGTGTATTCACTTCTGAAACCCTTTAGCATTTCTGCAAAAACAGCTTTTTGTTTGTTATTTTTCATCATCATGTCCGTTGTTTTCTATTCTTTCTTTCTGAATTGAAAGGTTTAAATGTGCGTCATTCCGACTCACTTGTGTTTATGAGGAATTGGTTGGACACTCCTGGATGGTCCACATCGTGGATGGCAGCCGCAAATAACGCAGCTAGTATCTCTAGATCAGTGAACACAGCCTGTCAGAGAGAAATAAGAGAACAAAATCATTTGTAAACTGTTGTTTACACTTTACCTTTTACTATGTTATCCTTTGAGGGCTTGGTATTTGTGCATGTGAAGTGAGATGTGTAGAGGTACTTACATCTAGAGCCGGCGTGGATAGTAGTACATGAGTAGACTGAGTGACGTCTGCAGCGTGGAGGCTGTTGTGGTAGGCCACGTTGGCATGGTAGTGGTCCTCCAGGGTCATCACATAGGTGACAAACGTATCCACGGGGATCCGAAAGGTATTTAGCAGATCTCTTTCCTACAGCCACATGGTCACAGTTAAGTCAGGCTACATGATATACTGTATAACCCATTGTTAGTGAAAGCTCTTTCCCCGTCTCTCACCTGGAAGATGGAAAACATTATGCAGCTCAGGGGTCTGTTATTAGAGAACTCCGCCACACGAAAGATATTAAGGCCCCACATGTTTAAGTCAGTCAGCTCCTGAAGGCATAACAGGAAACATTAACACATGTCACTACAACAATCATACTTCAGTAGTTTGTTCTTCATACGGCTGAACACATTTAATATCAAAAACACAATATGGATTTGTGTAATATCCAAATCACAGGAAGAAGATATGTAAACATATCATTTAGAGTTAGGTCTTGTGGCTTTCCTCCCTAATTCTTTAGTTAGATTAAAATGATGTTGTTTGAAACATGCAGCATGCACCATTTTCTTTGTGTTATATTGTGGATCTTGCCAAATTAGTTATTAGTTTCTCTTCCTAAGTAAATATTTTGCCTCTAATATTGCTTTAATCCAAGACCAATGTCAACAGGATGTTTACAGGTGATGTCTGACATTATGATAACAGTGTCTGTTTACATAATCGGGTATTCCGATGGTCAAAGAAAGCTAGTAAAATATGTCCTGAACTGCATGTGTGCATAACAGAATTCATTTAAGATGTAGAACATGTAGAGACGATAGACAGGAAATACATGTCAGGATTTTGGATATCTATAGTTGATGTTATCTACTCTGTGGGTTTACTCTGTCTAGGCAATCATTTGCCAGCTGTTTTTCCATTTAGTTCAGTTCAGATCTTTTTTGTCCCAAATTAGGGTTTTCTGTTGCGTCAAGACAGCTATAAACCTAAATATTAAACAAAATAAAAACTGGGGATGCACCACTCCAACTTTTTCAGTCCAGATACCTAAAATCTTTAAAATCAGCAGAAGTTATTCTACATCTTTGATGAATACTCAATTCTAACCTGTGTTTACAGGTTCAAGCAATCACATTTATTGTATAGGCTTATGTAAATATTATATAAACATAACATTGCATTGATCTCAGCTTTTTGAGTCGGTATTGGCCTTGATATGGGTGCATTCTTAATAACAACACAGTAAGGTGAGGATGTATTTACCCTGTCTAACGCATCCTCGTGTTCAGTCTTCACGCCAAACCGAGGCATGGTGGAGTTTGAAAGGCTGGAACTGTGCGTGAGCTTCTTCACACCGCTGATGTGACACATGGGCTTCTCCCTCTCCCTTAAAGTCGGGGATGGGATCTCCACATCGTTCTGCTTATCTGGGGGGGGGGGGGGGGGCGAGAATCAGAGGTCAGCCAGGAGGAGACAACACGATAAGGGACTGTAAAGGTTGATCACAGATGAATGGCAGGTATGCTTTACCTAGAAAGGTAGTGGAGATGTATTCTGACACCTGGTTCCCTGAGCGACTCATCTCTGACAAATGGGACAGCTCCCTGTTCAACATCCTCTTGAACTAAGGAAGGACAGGCAGACACAGGAAGTGAGCGACTTGACTTACAAAGAAACAGAAAGTAAAGCAATATTATTATTATTGTACATCCAATTCCAATTATTACTTACACATCACAACAAAACGTACTTTGGGTCAAATGTGAGACGAATAAATGATCACCCTGACTCTGGTTTCATTAACTAGTGTGAGAAAAGCAATGATGAATCATGCCTCCTCTTTTTGAGAACATACTGGTCTATGCCCCTGAATGTAGTGTGCCTTCATTTTGAAATGTATTTAAATGCTGCAGTATTGTGGCATTGTTATACATATTCTTCTCCCTACGTTCATGAACAACTAGTCTGCAGTTCCTTGCAGCACAGACACAAATGTGATTAAGCGAATACATTATCCCTGCAGTCAAAAAGCACAGCATGCTCTCTCAGATTTGATGTCATTATTGTATTTCTAAAGCGATAAAGGTAGCGTTGGAAGGCTTCACAGAGAATCTGTTGCACAAGTCATGTGAAGGCGACAATACGATTCGGACAAGACCCCTTTCAGTCTGTCTCCTGCCGACTGATCTTTCACACATAACAATCTCCATGGCAACCAGAGCGGTTGCCGTGGAAACTGCCTCCTCACAGTCAGTCCTTCAGCTTGATGTGAGAGCGGTGGCTGCTTGGGTGACAATCTGAGGGAGTAGGCAGGTGTCTCTGACCTTTACCAACGGTCAACCCCCCCTCCCTCCTGCCATCCTCCTCTCTTCATCTCCCTGTTACTTATATCTGCTCCTCCTTCCCTGTCGCGGTAAACAACACTCCACCACCGCTGCTCTCAAGCCCCAAAATCCTCCCCTGTCTCAGGCTCCACTTTTGCCTTCCTGCCATTTCACACACTGCATGCATTTCCCTCCATCTTTAACTCTTTCAATAATCTTTTTGTCCCATTATTTCCCATCCCATTCAGCCTTGCACCAGTTACAAGGCCAAGCAAGTAGCTGCTCTAACAGCAAATCGTAGACGCAGTCAGGCAGAATCGGTCACCAGGAGCCAGGAGAGGAAGACAAGCCCTGTGGCACACTTCGGCAGCAGGCTCAGCCCAAACCTCCTCCTCTCTCAGTGCTCTCTCTCGTTCTTTCCTTCCCTAATGCTGTAACGCTGAGTCATAGCTGCCAACCAACACTTCCACAGTGCCAGTCCGAGTGCCAGGACAAACAACACTCTTCCTCTGACACTGACTAATGAAGCAAACATGTGAACGCTGCACAGACATGACCACACGTACACACAAATGCATACACCTGCATATGGGACCCATGAGGGCATTGTAACTACCTACGATCATGAATAACAATAGCCAAATAACACACATGCTTAAGGGGCCCTTTCTCTGAACTACTACATCTACAAGTGATCGATTGAGACTGCAATAAAAAAAACAGAGAAAAAGCGTGCATATCTTTGTGTTCCCAATGTTTTTCAGGAAATAATTATCACAAAAGCCAGACTTTGTTTTGCTAACACCATACCATCTCTAAAGCCAACTTGACATATCGAAGCCTAACTTGACACAATGTCTAAGCTGTATACATTTGATGGATATAACTCAGTCCGGAGACAATAGGCATTGTTCTTCACTGACAATACGCCTGGCTTCTTTGAGTCTGTTTTGAGGCCAGCCTCAGGGTAGCAGGAGAGAGACACAGAGAGAAGTGGGACGCAGGTGTAGAGGAGGGAAATGGACATTATGTGACACTGCAATATACCTGCAGTAAAAACGTCTAGACTACTACACAAAGTCCCAAAGCTATTTCCGAGATTTTTAAGCGGCTCGGTGAAATCTCAAATGGAGAGAAATGCAGACCATGTATAGAAGGATGAAGTATGAGCTTGATATTGTCTTTTTGTTTACAGTGCTGCTGCTAGATGTAATCAACTTTGTGCCTTTTTCCCTGTTCCCTTTCAACGGATTCATGCATAACTTATGTACAGGAACACAATGCCTAACAGTTTCCCACAAAGCCACTGTCAGACCCACAACCCTTCACCACATACATTCAGTTCATAATTAGCAAGTCCCAATGTAGCACCATTATAAACAAACAACACCATTACTGTTGGATACAAAAAAAAGACAAATAAGAACATGGAGAAGGCAAACAGAAGAGTTGTAAAGGCATGTTTAGATGTAAAACTTGGGCATGAATCCAAGATGTCCACTGCTAAGCCTTGATTGCCCTCTCCAAGCCTTCCAACCCTACCTGGTCCCACCAACCGATGAGCCAGGGCCTGGAGCAGGTTTCACAGAACAGGTCGACTAGGGGCGTCCTGCGCTCCGCCGCCGTCCCCATTCCCCTCCCAGAACCCCTCCAGCTGCACCCAGGTCCAGCTCTGCCCCTCGCCTCCCCTGGCAGGGGGCTGTAGCTGAGGAGCGGGACAGCCTGTAGCCCCCTGGTACAGGCGAGGGGCAAGGGGATGGCGCCGGGTCAATGGCCTCTACCACACCCATGTTGAGGGTCACGGGGGGTTTGGGCCGATGGCACAGGCAGGAGGTGCGGTAGTGGAGCGGCGCGGGGGCGCTGTGTGTGCCCCAGTGGCATGAGGGCGTCGGCAGGGTGTGTGAGGAGAGGCCACAGCTGGTCAAGCCGGGACACTCCAGAGTGACGGCTGCCCCGAGTGGGGGGCGAAGGAGCGGGGGGGAAGGGGGTGACGGTAGGGGTAGCTGGTGCAGACTGGCCTTGCCTACATGCAGCACCCCAAAGCAGGCCCCCCAGTCAGTCCAGAGTCGGGCTCCAGCCTCAATGTGGTCCGAAGATGAGGGTCCCCCTGATGGGCAGACCAGGAGCCCCCTGGATCCGGCTGCTGTGGAGACTACATCTCATCCCATTTGCTGAGCAGACTGACCCAAATCTAAAGTCACTGCAAGGTAGAGGTGGATGGGAGTCGAAAGAGGGAAGATGGAGGGAAACGAAAAAAGAGAGGGAGCGAGGGACCGTCTGAAGGGCACAGAGAGGAGCTGAGGGTGGAGAGGAGTGAGGATGTGAGAGAGATGTAAACTAAACAATGGTGTTGCGAGGGCAGAGCTGCTTGATAAACAGTAATACAAAATTCAGATGATGGAGGTGAGAGGGACGGAGTGACGATGGCGGTAGGACAGAAAGATGACCATAGTCTCAGATGATGGAGGTAAAGGGAGCTTGGATGACCTCGGGAACATAGGGGGGAAGGAAGAAGGGAGACACATATGACATTAGCAAGAGCAAAACAAGAATGGAGAGGATGAGAGAGAGAAAGAGAGAGAGGGATGCAGGCAGGCCTGTAGCAGACAGTCAGGCTCAAGAATCACAGTAGGGCTCTGGTCTGGAAAAACAGGCTCCCTCTCCCTGCATCGACTGCCCCTCCCCCACGGTACGGATCCAGAGGCCCGGCCCAGTCCTACCGGAGCATCAACCTGCAGCCTGTGCCGTCTCACACTGATCCCAGCAACACACAGTCAGTCCACAGTCAGACAAGTCTGCCTCCTGATAGCTCCGTATCACAGTCACCTGCTCCGAGTCAATCCATGCCTCAGCTGGCCAAAAAGCCAGAGGTCTAATCCTGCCGCTTTAGGCTGCCATTCCTCCTCCAATGCTTTGCCTCTTGCGCCATTCCGTGGATGCTGTAGACAGCTCTCGCAAGCTAATCAGGCAGTGTGGCTGCAGGCGCATGCATGTGTGCGTGTGTGTGCGTGTGTGTGCGTCTCTCAGCCTGAGTGCGCATGTGCGACAAGACAGCATGTACGTCTGTTGAAAATATGTGTGTGTGCAAGGGTGTGAATAAGAGTGAGAGACTGAGTGGGAATATTCATGTGTACCTCCATGTTGGCACAGTGTGGAGGATTTCTGTATCTTAGCTGCGGCTGTGAAAAGGCAGCGACATATTCACAGAGACTCTAATCACCCCAGGAGATTTCTCTGCACACATTGTTTGTGCACACACATGAATGATGTCCTTTCAACCCATCTCCTGTCATCTCTCCCTTTGTCCTTTAATCAAAAGCATGACTGATTAAAAAAGGGAGTATTGTCATTCAAATGGCTGTGCAACATTGAAAGAATATCTAGAATAAAACAAACAAGGTACATGATGCTGTCTCTTTAAGACAGAACACTATTAAAGGAGCATCACCTCCATTTCATTGGTTGTTGCCCAAACCACATGGCTTGTGGTCAGAGTGGCAAGCCAATGACTAAAAGGGAAGGGCAGACCCTGCTGCTGTTCTATAGCAACCAAGGTTACAGCAGAGACATCAGCATCAGGACCCTCTCCCCCTCCCTGTCATGTCCTCCATACCCACAGTCCTTACTCCCTCTCTCTCCATCCTCGAAGCCCCCACAATTACAAATGCAGGCACACTTAAGAAGCCGCCCATGAGCACAAATGCAGGCGTGTAGATGCCATAATGCAAATTCAATACAACCTGTCTGTATCACTTGCAGTTGTCACCACAAATGCTCATCTAGACATCATCAGCGTTTAGTCTAACATGGATGATATTCATTACAATTACAACCACAGGATTGCGCATAAACCAAAGATATTTAATAACAACGAATTACTGCTTTTATTGAACAACTCTTGGTTTAGTGACATCTCTAGCAGAAAATGATTTACCATTTATTTAAATTGTCCACCAAGGATCTGTGTTACATGTATTTATGTGTAGAGTGGAACCTGATCCTCATGGAGTGTTGAACTGTACTCTTTAACCATGTAATACACAGTTTATAGGTCATTTATGAACAAGCTTAGCTCCACACTGAGTTAACGTAGAGGTGTTGTGTGTGGACAGATGTGCACCTTATTGGAGGCCATCTCGCTGACGGAGCGGTGAGTCTGAATGGTCTCCAGCTGGTCCAGACACCAGTCCAGTTCCTCCAGAGTCTCCCGAGCCATCTGCTGGTATGTCTCATCTGAGGACGAACACACAAAGACACACACAGACATTGAACAAACTAGCAGTAGAGAAAGGGCACACATTTTGGCACAAAAACTTGACGAAATACATGAGAGACTACTTGAGAGAATACATTCTATTTTAAATGAGCTGTGACTGTAAAGGTCCAGCAACCCAGAAAGGTGGTTAACAATAAGAGTTGACCAATGTCCACCATGTCTGCAAATAATGTGTTTACATGGCTGTTCAACAATACAACTCAAATTTGCTTCTACTCATTGATTGATAACACAACATGCAAAGTCACTTGTGTCATGCAGTCACTTTGCTTCTTTTTGTTCAATATGTTAAATTATATTCAGCTGAATAACACAACATCTTTTTTTGTATTAACACGTAAATAAACCTCTAACATTGACAGCTCTAATTTGACATATTTCTATTGAATTCCCTGACAATTAATACATCTTTTGTTTCCTGATTGTTGGTGTAAACATTATTTTATATTTGTAATATTAATCAACACAGTTGGCATCTATTTTAAATTATGATTAGTATCAGATGGAAAATGTATTGACAGGTTATTTTTATGCTTTTATGAGTGTGTGTGTGTGTGTGTGTGTGTGTGTGTGTGTGTGTGTGTGTGTGTGTGTGTGTGTGTGTGTGTGTGTGTGTGTGTGTGTGTGTGTGAAAGGTGCTATAATAAATAAACATATTATTATTATTGTTATTATTATTATATACAGTTCAGATAAAAGGTTCTGTAGAGTGAAAAATAAGCTTTGCAAAGATGTCCTTTGAGTGAAAAAATATTAAACTCTCTAATCATCAGCTTTATTTTTTATAACACATATAATTCTTTCAACTTTAGCAACTTATGTTGAGTAATTTAATATCTGTCCAGTGTGATAAAATGTATGCAGTATACTTTTATTTAAGAACATACTCAATACTGATACCACATAATGTTTTGTGCTGCTCTGCAGTCATTCCCATTACTGATGATGCATTCAGGGAGTGTGGGAGCCAGAGTGTGTCCTTACAGCTCTGTGAGGGGACTATGGGACTTTTTGCACTAAGAGTTTTAATTAGCTGACAACCTACCAGAGAGTGTAGCTTGGGGAACAGTGGGCTGGCTTGTCACTGGTGACCTCCTGTGGACAAACACATCATTACATGAGAGGCAGAAGCACACGCTGCTTCCCCCTGCTGGGCTTCAACACACTTTCAGCATTACAGAAGGAAGCAACAAAAGGCATGGCTCACAGAGGCGATATAAATATATTAATGTATGTTATTCACTTATATGTGTCTCAAAAGAGACAAATGGGGCTGTGCTTTCTAGATCCTTGAATATTGAATTCAACTGCAATGTGTGATTTATTTTTAGTACTTAAAGAGGCCATTGTTTCACTTCAAATATTAAAATATCCAAAAATAGTCAAAGACAATGCCCGAGCCCTGTTCTCCTTTCAAGTAGCCTTTTTGGTTTCATAATTGTGTAGTAAGTGAGGCTGAATAATGTTGTGGTGGTGCGTTGGTGTATATATATCATATTGACGTGGAGATAAAAGGCTGCCAAGTCGAGCTCCTTCTATCTGCTGCATAACAAAGGACAATAATTGTAGTGTTACTGACTATCTCTATCGTCTAGGTAGAGTCAGGGACATACATCTGAGGAGTGCTGCACTCAGTGTTCAGCCAGCAAGTTGGAGAGATGCCAAATAATGCCGATCATATTTTCCTTGAACACAGTCGGATAATCATAAACTGTTTAATCATGATGGCAAAAGTGTTTCCCCTCGGGAGCGAGGAGAAGGAGACATAAGCAAACACACACTGCAAACTAAGCAGGCAGTCGTGACGAGTGTAAATTGGGGGAAGGGGTGTTTGACAGCATGATACTGACTTGTTAGTGGTTGTTGTAACATTGGCGAGGATGGTGAAGTTGCTTCTTACAGTTCGTAGGCTGGCCAACACCTGGGGGATGGATGGACAGCGTAGGAAGGAAAGAAGGAGGAGGGAGGAAACAGGAGGGAGGGCAAGTTCACTGCACTAATTACCCACCTTTTCTAGTCATTTACAGCAATTAAATATGTCAGATCAGGTGCACAAACATACCTGAGCGAAAGGGGTGACGATCATGTCTTCGGCGTGCCTGCAGGACAGAATATGCAAATAAAGGTCAAAATGAGAGGAATGGATGTGAGGTGTTTGGTGCTGAAGCACTCGGTATCAAGTGTTTATCTGAGAGGCTGCATCTGTGAGCTGCATGTTTACAAAGACCTATGCGGATCCAAACACAGACACAGTCCTAAGATAAGCTAATGGAAGAGTTTGGGTGTGTTAAACTTACTGGAGGACAAGCCAGGAAAATGGAGAACAACAGTTACTGTTAAGGGGATTCATCATGATTTCATTAGCATAATGATTGCATAATTACAATCATAACCACTGCTGTTGATTGGGATGATGTGCACTTACTGTGTGTGTGTGTGTGTGTGTGTGTGTGTGTGTGTGTGTGTGTGTGTGTGTGTGTGTGTGTGTGTGTGTGTGTGTTTAAATTCCATGTGCCAGGATGATGGCTTCATGCTTACCCCTCACTGTTGATGGAGGAGTTTCGTGACATGGTTTTCGGCGACGTGTCGAAGTCTGAGTCTGAGCGGTATAGGAAGGACTCCCTGCGCTGGCTCTGGGGGAAAGAAGGGTGGAGCACCACCCCAGGACTCGCCTGCGAATCCATGGGACTGCGTCCTGGAGAGGGACCATTCTCTGAATCGAAGCTGAAGGGTTAGAGAGGACAGGCAGAACATTGGTTTTACATCTGCTGCATTTAATTAAGGTGTTTGTTTTGCCTCTGCTTATCTTATCTGACGGCGACAACACGATAAGCCTAAACACCCAAACATTAGCCACAGAGTGCAGCCTGCTCGAGTGTTTGTAGTTTCTTAGAGAGGAAGTTAATGAAAGAGAGTTGTGACAGCAGCAAGAAACATGCAGTTTGACTCTGATGTGCCACTGGATTGGCAGGCTGCCACCGGGCTGCCCTGAGAGTTACACTCTACTGACAAGTCATATTATAGAGCAGGTCGTGTTTTAGTGAGTAAAATGAGCCATATCAACCTCTCTGTGCCAAAGCTGTCTGTCTAAAAGTGAGCTTGATTGAGATTTTTGATTTAATTCTCTATTGGGACGAAACGCTGACAGTATTAGGAACACTTCCATAAATTAAGACTGCTTATAAAAACAGACAAGGTGGAGAGTAAATATATAATACCCAACCAAAATATATTCTGCCAGCACATTGCTGAGTAACATGAAACCCAGTACACAAGGCTGAGAGAAGTGGATCAATTCAAAGACGAGTTTAGCCAAAGGAGACACGGCAACACGCTTCTCTGGTTACACTCATCTTATTTTCAGCCCAACTCTTTTGTGAAAAGCAAGAAGATTGATTTTGCAGCTAAGACATTAAGTCATTATTGATTGAATGGGGTTTTAGAGTTTGGTGTCATGTTACAATAAAATGATGTACAATTTGTTTGTAATACTACTGTCAATGTTTGTGAAAAGTATATTGATACAAAATCTACAAGACTTCAGATATAGAAATCATATGAATCTATTATTGTGACTTTCAGGCTGCAGTAGTAGTCAGGTGTTGGGATGGCGAGGACAGATGGGGAGCAGGTTTTTAGTGTTGCTGCAGCATCTATTTTTAATGTAGGATCACTTTTATCTCCACAACATTTCCCCACTTCGCCTAAACTTATCAAACTTTTGGTGTCAACACACCTTTGAACGGTTTTCAATTTGACTTCCTAAATTAAGTGTGATATTTTTTGAATTTACTTCCAAATTGGCCAATTAGGAGCCACTCCTATCCCCAGAAGGCATTGTGAATTTACAGATCAAATTATCATTTAACAAGTTTCCCCGGTAATGAAAAACACATCAGAGCTGTCTGCCAGGGGGACCCTCTGCTGCCGCACACGCTAATCCTCCTTCTTATTTTCCTCTGAAAACTTTGGGAGTAATTATTAGACTCCAGTTTCTCAATTTAGCTTTCCCCAAAAATCTAATCCATCTAGAGTGTGTACATGGAATAATTTACTCCGAGATCTTGCATTACAGACACGTTGCACACATAATGCCTAAACCTTGGTAATACAAACATAAATAAGAAAAGTGTCTTTATCAATAGAAGATATTTTAGTGAGGACAAATCAGATGCTTGGATACCTGCTCAAACACAGAGATAAGCGTCCGCGCTCCTGAATACTGCGGTTCAGTTTCAAACGTCGAAACAGAACCGAGCCCCCGTGTCCTCGCCACTGATCGACCGGTGACACCGGGGAGGTGAGAGGGGCTGCGTGAGGAGGACCCTCAGGACTCTCCCTCAATGTCAGCTGTCGTGTCAGCCTCCTCTGACTCATCGCTGCTCTGGCCCTGGTGTAGCCCACCAGTTAAAGAAAACTCCCCCGGCCTCCACTTAAAACCGGCTGTCTCGCTCTGTTTGGCCGTCTTCCTCCCACGCAGTCCCCCCTTATCCACTTTTTAGTCTTCGACTCACGTCTCAGACAGACAGAACCGCTGCACCTGCAAACTGTGCTCAATCCTGAGCAAGATCTAATAAAAGGCCTGATCCTCCCTTTAGTCCAAGCTTCCTCATGCCGGAGGAGTCAAAGTGCATACACATGCATATCCCGGCTGTGATCCTCAGGCCCCGGCTGCTTAAACTCCAGTTCCCCCCTTCTCACACCCTCAGTTTGCTCCGTGGATTAATGCAGGTCTCCTTAATCCTTGCCTGTGCACGTTTGTCTTTTGGTTTGTTGTTTCCTCCCAGAACGGAGCTCTTCTGATATTTCCCCCTCTCAGCTCTGTTCACTGCTGCTGCTGGGACCAGTCTGCCCAAACTGGACCTCTGTCCACATCTGGACTCGGTTCTGCTGTCTCACATTCACGTTAAGACAACCAAGACTGCCAAAACATCTGTGGCGATCTCTGTTAACATTTAGCCAACTTAAAAAAATAGCCAACTTGTTGCCCTTCAAGTTGTATCTCTTTTTATCTCGTCCCCCCGCCTCACCAGCGCTAGCATGTGCTCTGACAGTCCTTATCTCGCTGCTCGCAGTTCCTCTGCAGCAACAGGAAGGCTGATCAGTAAAAGTATCAACAGGCGCCAGAGTAGAGCAACACACAATTTGAAAAGAAGGTAGAAAACATCCCAGAAAGAGGAGGAGAGAAGAGAGAGAAGTCAGGGGGAAACAGGTTGACTCATACCCCTGTGTAAATGTTTACATATTCTACTTTACAGCGTGCAAGGTTTGCGCCCAAAACATTTCCTATTTTGACATCAACAGCCTTGCTCACCAACAGCTCTTTCCTTGGCCTTTAGATGTGAGCAGACACAGCAATGCCTTAATGTTGTGCATGAGCAACAATTAGTCCATGAAAAAGCTTTCAAAACAAGGTGCATTAGGTCAACCACAACTAATGCAGTGATGACATGGGAGATTGCAATGTTAGACAGCCTCAAGCAGTTTTCCTTCTTTACACTTACATGGTTTCTCAACTCAATGAGGCTCAATATGCAGAAACATTTGACTGCAGTGTTAGTAAATACTCTGTTTTTTAGGATTGCTAGCAGCTTGTGAGAAGTTATTATGATGAGGTTGTTTATTACTTGTGTATCCAAAGGCATTGATTAACAGCTTTTGTTAAGAAGTACATTAACCCCTCAACTGCAGAAATGGGTGTTTGGAAACAAGCGTGTTGAAAGTGTGGCAATTTCCTTTAAAGAGAGAACTGAAGAAGTGGTGAGCATGTGGTGAAACACATTTCTCAGCAATGATTACTGCTTACTGTATTTCTGTGGCGCTATCGAATATACATCTTTACATAGTTCTACTTTACTATAAAGTAGTAAACTGTTCTATAGAAGAAAAAAAATGTCTCACGTATAACTGAAGAAATTCATTTCATTTTCATTTAATTTGAATCTTCATTTCGAACAGGTTAAAAAATTAAAAAATAAAATAAAAAATTGCAAAACAGAATACCGTATTGTTAGAGTACAGTATTTATCAATATTCATAATAATATTAATATATTCAACAAAAATATTCATAATAATAATAAATCATATTTGTCCGAAAGGGAGCAGGAAGAAAGCAAATGCTTGAGTCGTGGATGGCATTTGGACACAAACAAACCTTAGCATCAGAACATGTGAGAAATGTATATGTGGTTTGTTTCATTGTAATTTAAAATAAATAAATGACAGTGAAATAAGCAGGTTTTAGTTAATCGTTTCTGATAATTATACTCAAGTATTTAATTAACAATTTATAATTACATGTTCTTGTTAATTAGTGTCTGTAATGAAGGCAGCTAAATCAATAAGAACAGACCATACATTACATGCTGCCCAGTCTTGATTAAAAATAAGTCCTAATTTCTGCTTGTCGGAGTGGAAAGCTCACTCACTTTTTGGTAGCAGGGCTGACCTTTAGTCTGTGTTTGGAAAACAGATTGGACATCTTAAGTTGTGTGTGTGTAAATGTTTGTTTGTGTGTAGAAAGAAAGTGTGTGTGTGTGCCAGCACCTCTGACAACCTGCATCTGTGTGTTTATCTGTGACTGTGGTGAAGCACAAAGAGGTAAGATATTCAAACTTTGCGTGTCAACATTTGAATAAACACGCCGCACATACCAAATGAGAGCACAAATGAGATGCCCCCTGAAAAGTCTCTATCTGTTTTCCCCTCAGCTGTTTTCTGCAATAGAAGCTAACAAGAAAAAGCAAGCACAACCTGCTGCATGAATTTGGTGTTCCACCTTTCCGCAAGCATCTACAAAGAACAAAGTGAAGGTAAGATGCCTTGTCAAGCTGCTTCCTTCTCTCCTCCTGCCTTCCACATTCAGTAGCTTATTGTTTCCCCTGACTCTCGCTTTCTCTCCACTCTTTTCCTGGTAGAGTGACTATCGTTTGTTTATGACACACAGGGGATGGATGGTGTAGCTTGTCTTGGAAATTCGCTTTTTTTAAAGTCCTCACACACATCCTGTTTGAACAGTGCCTTTCAAAGACAGATTTTGGAAAAATGTCAAGAATTCTGATTCACATGACAGTTACTATTGTAATCTCTGGAGAGCTGATGAGGAGACCATTATTCTATTTTATATGAAATCCACCAGTCCCTGCTCAATAATAGCTGGTGTGAAACCTCTCAAGTGACTCATACACACATGTGGACACACACACACACACCCGTGGAGAAACACACTGGCGAGAAATGCACCCCCATGTTGCACTCAGGCACACACACGCAGTTGAGCATCATTGTTAAAGCTCCTGTCTTTTGCATCTGCTCACACAGACTGTACACAGGGTGATAATAAGCCAAGATGTGGGCAGCTCTCTTGGTTTCATTATGTGAAAGCAGAGTCCCTGGAGTGCGGACAATGACATGATGATCAGAGGTTTCAGGGGGGAGGGGATTTGTGCCAGCTGAGTGACTCCTTCTTATAGGAAATAACAAACCTCCTCCAAAGACGGAGTGGAGCGGCTGTCTCCCCTGAACCGCCTCACTCTGTTAGTTACCTCATTCACACCAACGGTGTTTCAGGGCCGGTTCGGAGCTGGAGCTTGAAAAGCACCAGGTTTTCCTGTTCACACCGCAGCGGAGCAACGAATCCGGTTCGTTTCAAGCACCAAAAAATTGTCCGGCTAGAGCAAAAGCACCGCATACGTCACGCTTACGTCGAGGGGGCAGGGGCGG